GATATCCGAATATCCGGATTGCAAACCCTAATTGGGATAAGGGCAGGCAAATGATGATGTGTTGGCGATATGGCACTTCGATATTTTGATACAATGATATTTGGCACCATCTAATATGTAGCCGCTTTAAACAAATCGAACACGCTTGTGATACGTTAGAGAAATAAAGTAAAATACCTACATTGCGTCACAAAAAAAATTACATGTGTAGGTAAGATGATTTTTTGGTGCTTATGACAATAAATAAAAGTTACGATGATATTACTGTGGAATACACATGGCTGAGCTCCACTAGATGATCTTGATGATGATGACTGCATAGGACTAGTGACAAAGCAAGATGATGAAGATGATTGTATTACTGTCGAAGATACTTACTTGCGGCTGAGCTGCACAAGATGATGATGATGACGGCTAAGGACTAGTGACAGAGCGGGATGATGATTGACATAGACTTATGATTGATGATGATGATGATGATATTACTGTTAAAGATATACTTACTTGCGGCTGAGCTGCACAAGATGATGATGATGACGGCATAGGACTAGTGACAGGCCGAGATGATGATGATGAGGACGGTGAAGACCCTGATGATATGACTGTTGAACAGACGTTTTGAATTGGGATTAATAAGTATTTATCTACTTGCGTAAGTTGAAAAGTGCAATATTCACACATTGCAAATATGTTTTATTTTTCTAATTCTAGACACGTAAAAAATCATAAGCAATATATTAAGACTACATCTATAGCTGTGTCTATATTATGAGTCAGTAAAAATAAAATTACCAGGAATAGCTAGATTTGAATTCCGTATGCTGTAGTAAGGTGGCGGTGCTTTTCCCGCAGAATTTGACGGACTGACTTGTTGCAAGTAGGCTGAAATTTACCAAACAATCAAGCACTCGAAGACTTCCTAAGCAGTCGTAAATTTAGCGAAAAAAAATCTCTTTAAAGAAAAAGACATGGTAAAGCAGTAAATCTGGTAAATTTACATTGAAGTAAACAGAGTAAAAATATTTTTTATATAGGGTGTATTTTTATTAGTGGCAGATCCGTTAAGGGTGTGTTCTGTCAATGAAACTGAACAACTTTCCCCAAGGAACATAGGTCGAAATACGAAAAAAATTTTGGTCTTCCCATATTAAGTGTGTTGGCCGGCCGGGTCAATTTGTATGGGAGGGCCAAATTTTTTTTCATATTTCGACCTATGTTCCTTGGAGAAAGTTGTTCAGTTTCATTGACAGAACACACCCTTAACGGATCCGCCACTAATAAAAATACATCCTATATTTTTACGGGATTTCTATGGCACGCATTTAAATTATAACAACCTGTATACTTATATTGCTTACCTAGTGGACCGCTTCCTCTTAAGTAAGGGTTTCCATACGTAGCAGCGTATCTAACATCAACGCCCTTAGGCAAGGACAGTCCTGAGTTGGTCATGGGTATAACTGTGGACAAGAAAATAATGTCGGTTATCTCTTTGGAGGTTAAAAAAGCACTGCTCCAATGCTGGTCTCTGGTGGAAAGGCAGCCTAACCATTATTTATTCTTATGGCCTTATATGAATGCTAATTTTAACAAAAGTATTTGGCGTTTTACATCCCTAATATTTGCTTCAAATTATTCTAGAGTAAGTAGCAAACTAAAGTGGCAGAAGCTGGTCATATCTGTCGCCGATGGACGGTAAGCTGTGGGGTGGACGTGGTTTAGAGTGAAGGCCACGCCCTAACAAGCATAGCGTAGGGCGCCCGTGGACCAGATGGACGGATGACTTAAAGAAAAATCTTGTGACGTACTCTGGGGCTAACGTCCAGCAGTAGACTGCTTTGGCTGATGTGCTGGTGATAACTTACCATCTGGTCCAACTCCACTTAGTCTCCCGCAGCTCGCTTGTCTGTTCAGGGATCCGCAGTGGCTGGGGAAGGTGGAATTGGTGCTCCTGGTCAGGGAGCCGGTCAGCGAGTCTCCTGGGGGCAGGAAGTCTCGGGCGTAGTCGACGTAGGGCACGTAGCCGTTGGCCTGACCTTGGACCTGGTGGAAGGAAGACAAAATAGGTACAGTATAAAATACAAATATAAAATTTTTATTGACCAAAATACTTTCAACATTTATGTTTGACTCTTCCCAGTAAGTGAGGAAACAAACGTCAAAACAGACTCCATAAGCTGTTCAGTTTCAAGGTCTGATCATATCTGCAAATTTTTCGGTAGGTACACCAACCTTACAAACTGACGGGGGAAATTAATGAAACGTTAGCTGATCGCGATCTTGTAAACCTTGGAGGAATCTGTACTAAACATATTTCACTCAACAAAATGTTCAATTTGAAATTTTATCAAATTGTATAGGCTAACAACCAGTTTCATGTATATTATATAACAAAAAATCATAGAATAATATTTATACATGATAAAATATAATCGAATGTAAGTATAATAAATTCGTACCAATCTCGGAATACAACAATACAATAGATATTCAATTTCTTGTTTGACACAATGAAACATGATAACTTTGCTGAGAATTTTATTTCGAAGAACTATCGCAGTCTACATTCCTGAATATAAATGTAGGTAATATCATGAACCACGTGACTTACACAAGCCTACGTCATCATGCTTGTGGGTTACCAAAATTACCCACCCACTCTTATGATTATTTTTGTAAATTATTTAGGATACTGTTAACTAATAAATACAATTTAAGTGTTGTTGTAAAGTTCAAGTTAATACACACGTTAATCTAAATTATAAAATTATTCAGAAATATTTTAGCTCATTTTTCTGAGATTGAATTTACCGTAACGTATTTTATTCATATTTTATTGAAATAAAGTGGCAATACTTGTGACGTAGACAAGTGTTTCTCTGGGAATGTAAGACCATGTTTTATTAGACTATGGGTAATATTCACAGGTAATATTATATTTTGTTTAGGGAAACGCTACCTTTTATCTATCTTCTTTTTGACGCCTGTAAGAGACGAGGTACTTTTAAAACTTTGCAGGCATGAACGGACCGTGAAACTGAATAAGTTCTACTTTGAAGACATGTTGAGAATCGTAACACAAGTGTCCATAGTAAGTCAGTCAGCTGATCGGGATTTATTATAGAAAGTCAAAATTTTTAAAAATAAGTTTTCCTAATTAATTATTCAGTAAAATGCTAAAAACAGAACTTAAAGCTAACATTCCGTATATCACAAAAAAATATCTCTTGCAGTTACCTACCTTGAAATGCAGATTATGAATAGGCTGATTGAAGTCACCGCTGTAACGCTGATACTGTTTCATCAGTTCGTTGTCGTAGCCAGAATCTGGCAAGGAAACTGGACCAGCCAAAGGCAGGCCGAGGTTGGTAGTCAGGTGCAGGGTTGAGTGGAGTTCCGTCTCCGAACCACCGGTCGAATGCTCCTACAATGAATTCTTCGTGTCAGAACAAGGAAAAAACATTTAACTGTACAGGGTGCAAGGTGCAGGGAAGGCAGGCCACGGTTGGTGGTCAGGTGTAGAGTTGAGTGAAGTTCAACCGTCTCAGAACCACCGGTCGAATGCTCCTACAATGAATTCTTGGTGTCAAAAAAAGGAAAAAAAACATGTGCGTGCAGGGAAGACATGCCAAGGTTCGTGGTCAGGTGCAGGGTTGAGTGGAGTTCCGTCTCAGAACCACCGGTCGAATGCTCCTACAATGAATTCTTGGTGTCAGAAAAAGGAAAAGACATTAAACTGTACAGGGTGTAAAGAACGGTGTACCAACATCTTTACATTCTCTGTAAAAACCGATTCGCTACTTTACGACAATAGATGGAGTTGCAATAAGTACGTTTGATTTTTTATGGAGAAAATACTAATTTTCTTTCAGTGTGGATTTTGTAGTTCGTACACATTAAGCAAATTTCTTACCAAGTCACAACTTCCTTCCACCTGTCTCAACTCGAGCTTCAAGTCACTGATGTTCGAGTTCCTGTCACAATCCTTGAACTGGTCAGCACACTTCTTGCCGATGTCAGTGATGTCAGGCTTCTTGACGTCCGATTGCCTCGTCTTCCGATGGCATAGCATGATGATCAGCATCACTATCAGGACTAGGATTGCTACTGACGCGCAGGATGATACGATCAGGAGGAGTGGGAAGGTTTCTGGAACAAACAAGGTTTTGGTAAGGTGGACCAAACAGGGGGGTCAAAGCTTAAATGCCTTGTACTGAGCATCCACATCATCCCCATGCATGTTCCACAAAAAGTTGAATAGATGAAAAGTTTAATGCGGTTGCAGAATATATTTTTCAGCTTTTTATTTTCTCATCACAGATTTTCAAACAGCAATTTTTTTTGGAGCATAAATTTCATGATTTTTTATGAGAGGTACTCATACAAAGGGAGACCGTTTTGATTTTTTTTCTGTTTTGGTGGGTGGTCCTTCTTTTCATATTACGAAAAAATATTTGAAAAAAAGTTGTTCAGTTTCTCGAGAAGAACACACAGAAAATGCATCATGAATTTAATAAAACATACTGGGTGCAATGAATATGGGATGGGACTTTTTCAAGTAGATTAATATTTTTAGATACTTACTATCCGGAACCAGATGAATCTCCACACTATCGGTGCCATACAAATTTGTCACGCTGCAGTTGTACGTGCCAAAATGTCGGGCCTGGCTCTCCCGGACGATCAGAGTGGACTTCATCATCCGATCCGTGAGGGTTTCTTCCAGAAATGCGTATTCCTGAAAACAATACTGATGTAATGCGATGTGGAGATACAGGCTGTAAGTTTTTTTTCATCTATTAACATGTTGACTGGCCTACAAAACTAATCGATTCACTCTAAGGCGCACAATTCGAAATCATCTTCAATCATACTTAGATCAGTTGGGGTAGGCGCAACAAGTTTTGTTAAAACACAATCATGTAGCAAAGTAGATTTGTCTATGTTTTATGACCAGCTGCCTGCCTGAAGTCAAATCAAATCAAATTGAAACAAAATCAAGCTTTGACCGGGAATCAAACACCGGGCCGGTGGGGTACCGTCTCACTTCTCTGCCACTGAGCTATCGAAGCACCGGCTAACCCTTGCCAATTTTTACATTATCATTGTTCCTTACGTTTCCAGACCTTGTTCCTGATGCTCGTCTCGAAGTGACGAATAATTCATGTTGATCAGAAGGTTTTTCTCTCACCTGATTATGAAAGGAGTTGATCTCTATCCCTCCGAAGGTCCACATGACGTAGTCAGGTTTCGGAACAGAGAAGGCAATACACTCGATCCTCACGCTGTCTCCCTCTACGCCGTACTGAGTCTGGTTTGATGTTATTTTGGGAGGACCTAAAAGAAAAGGGGCATTTTAGACATTCGTAACTTTTTAAATCACGTCATTAATATTTCAGTTCAGGTAATTCTGTATTTGACTGTATTATCGCCAGCACAACAACCTACCAATTAAGGTATCAACTTATGCTGGTTTTTCTTAGCATTTGTATGAATAACCACTATAAGTCAGTCCCTTAAATGTTAAGTTTATGTGCTGGCGGGCGATAGTAAAAAAGATCTCTGCGTTGTTGATTTCGACATGCGACAATGTGAAAAATCTCAAGTTATAATTTATTTTACTAAAAATATGTTTCAAAACTTGATAAAAACAGACAGAGACTAAAGATACTTGGATTCTAAGTTTGTTAGTTTTAGAAGACATTAGGTTGCAATGGTCTTGCGAATAGCGTTCTTGCGGCAGTTGTCGGGTCGTAAGGGGCCGTGCCCAGTGTGCCAACGAACCACATTATATTTGTTTACTTTCTTTTTACCTGACTGCTTCAAAAGGAGAGATACGTTACGAATCTATTACGTATATAGACTAGTGATGATGAGGAAGCTGTTATGAGGAAGAGGAAGCGGAAGAGGAAGTAACAAGCTGAAAGTTGAAGAATGCGGAAGAGGATGAGGATTTATTTATGAGGAAGAGGATGCGGATGAGGAAGAGGAGTTAGCTGTCAAAAAAAACGAAAAAGAGAGTAAACTATTATGTCAGACTTGTTATACTCGCACATGTGTGACTGTATTCCTTTGCCACGGAATAGATGAGGTAGCGGAAGCGGAAGAGCAATTTAGAACTTTCTTTTATGTGGAAGCGGTAGCGGATGTGGAACCTTAAAAATTGCGGAACTTCCGCGTTATAAGGATGCGGAAGAGGAATCCTCATCAACACTAATATAGACAAACAAATTCTTTTTCACGGGCTGCGTAAACGGCATATCAGATGTTGACATGAGGTGTCGCTAGATTCGTCTCAGCAGCGCGAGGGACACTAGGTGGCTATATTAAATGTCATAAACTCAACAAGGTGGATTTCAAACGGAATACATAACCTTGGTACCATCGCAGTCGGTTTAATGTATTTTAATATTTTATGCTTGATAGTATGTACAGATTCATCTCTAGAAGACCTTTGAATACATTTGCTACGTTTGCGGAGTAGGCAAGTATGTAGGGCTTCATTTGTTTTGGTTGTAATGGAAATGCGAGAATAACTTGTAAATCTTTTGTATTTTTTCTAGCAAACATGTTTGTGAACGTCAAATAATAAAAGAAAAAAAAAACGTATTTTTTGCAAAAACTAAACTTTCAACATAAATTAACATGACTTCATATTTTGTTTTATTTTTTATACAGGTATCAGTAAAAGTACTGCGTTCCTTCAGTCAACAGTACTTTTCTTGACACCCTGTATAATAATAATTACTTCCAACACCAATATTTTTTTAATGTTAGTTTTCGTCTAAATAGTTATTTTAAAAATCATTCATTACTATTTTGCAGTCCGTCTGCGAATGCCCGAAACGGCGTTCCAATGGCAGTTGGCGTTCCACCGGCAAGTTGCCAGGTTGGTTCAAGTGCCGTGAACTGACAGCTAGGAAGGTGATTTGGAAACTTTGACGACCCACAGGTTTGCTAAGTTTTGATGAAATGCCTTTATTTTGAGGTATTTTGATAGTGTGCTTTCGACAAGAAACTGTTTCGGAGGAGTGATATGAAAGTAACAGGAGAGAGAAAAAAAGCGGATATTTTTGCTTGGTCGGGTCATGTAATCAAGCTCTTGCAAAGATCTTTCTTTCTCTAGGTATTACAAAGGTTGACTGAAAGAGATCTCTTAATGGGATAAGCCCGCCTTTGTGCCTGTATTTTTCTTATTTATGTAATGTTTTTTTAGATGTTTTGGTACAATAAAGTGATACTGATTACATACACACATTACAAGATCCAACCAGACAGATTTGAAAGTTGTCGGATAAACTTTAAAAATGCGTGTAAGGATTTGTAATGGACATTTGTTTGGAGTTGTAGCAGTTCGTCGTAGATCAGTATGGATGAGCTTGTCTCCGGGGATACAAAGTAAGTATTGGCTGGCGCCAATCCAGAGAGCCGGCTTCAAGGAAACGTCGCTATACTCACGCTGCCACCCACACGCCGTCGTTTACGCGGTATCTCGAACCGGTTCAAACCGGCTATGCAGGTTTGATGTTGTCACCGTCACATTCAATGACTTACCTCTCATATAGACGCTGGCTGAAGTCTCGATGTCGTGATGGTTTTCCACGCTTGCCCGACACCAGTAGGGACCGACAGTCTCCGGAGATATAGTCACGGTCAGGTTTGATATTGTCACGGTCAGGTTTGATATTGTCACGGTCAGGTTTGATACTGTCACGGTCAGGTTTGATATTGTCACGGTCAGGTTTGATATTGTCACGGTCAGGTTTGATATTGTCACGGTCAGGTTTGATATTGTCACGGTCAGGTTTGATACTGTCACGGTCAGGTTTGATATTGTCACCGTCAGGTTTGATATTGTCACCGTCAGGTTTGATATTGTCACGGTAAAGTTTGACAATGTCACGGTCAGGTTTGATATTGTCACGGTTAGGTTTGATATCGTCACGGTCAGGTTTGATATTGTCACGGTCAGGTTTGATATTGTCTCGGTCAGGTTTGATATTGTCACGGTCAGGTTTGATATTGTCACGGTCAGGTTTGATACTGTCACGGTCAGGTTTGATATTGTCACGGTCAGGTTTGTTATTGTCACGGTCAGGTTTGATATTGTCACGGTCAGGTTTGATATTGTCACGGTCCGGTTTGATATGTTCACGGTCAGGTTTGATATTGTCACGGTCAGGTTTGATATTGTCACGGTCAGGTTTGATATTGCCACGGTCAGGTTTGATATTGTCACGGTCAGGTTTGATATTGTCACGGTCCGGTTTGATATGTTCACGGTCAGGTTTGATATTGTCACGGTCAGGTTTGATATTGTCACGGTCAGGTTTGATATTGCCACGGTCAGGTTTGATATTGTCACGGTCAGGTTTGATACTGTCACGGTCAGGTTTGATATTGTCACGGTCAGGTTTGATATTGTCACGGTCAGGTTTGATATTGTCACGGTCAGGTTTGATATTGTCACGGCCATGTTTGATACTGTCACGGTCAGGTTTGATATTGTCACCATCAGGTTTGATATTGTCACCGTCAGGTTTGATATTGTCACGGTCAGGTTTGATATCATCACCGTCATATTCAATGACTTACCTCTCATATAAACACTGGCGGAAGTCTCGATGTCATGATGGTTTTCCACACTTGCCCGACACCAGTAGGGTCCGGCTATCTCCGGCGATATTGTAACGGTCAGGTTTGATATTGTCACGGTCAGGTTTAATATTGTCACGATCATGTTTGATATCGTCACCGTCATATTCAATGACTTACCTCTCATATAGACGCTGGCTGAAGTCTCGATGTCGTGATGGTTTTCCACGCTTGCCCGACACCAGTAGGGACCAGCTGTCTCCGGCGAAATTGTCACGGTCAGGTTTGACGATTTGCCGACTCGCTGTTGAAGAAAACAGGAACAGAGGGTGAAACATTTATTTATAAAATAATAAAAAATTACTAAAACTTCAAACGCTATACTTACCTAGGCCAATATGGGGAAAGAAGGACAGTGTATCGGAAACAAAACCGTTAAACTAAATGACTTTTCTTTAGAGCCTGTACTGAGAAACGAAAAAGTTTCAACCCTTTTATTTAATTTCATCCAAAAATAAATACGATTTTCAATTCTTCAGAATCCATGCTCTTAATTTTGTGAACCGATTACAAGATTTTTTGTTTCTTAATAACCGATTAGTAGTAGTAATCAAAACCTGATCTGAGGACCCTTCAAGTCTTTCAACACAATCAAGAAGTACCAACGAGATACTCGTACATATTGTACGCTTATCTATATCCCTTGTGGGTTACGCAGAGCGGAAAAGGCAGTAAAATATAGTTATTCATGTGGTATGCTGTCACCCTGTCGCCTAAAATCAATACACATCAACCCTCACATCCCTTAGTCACTTCTTACGACACGCACGAGAAAGATATAGGGTGATGCTATTCTAAGTCGGCACCATACTACGACATCCTTGATAGAAGTATGAGATACTTACAATAATTCTCTCGTTTTCATAACGCAGCCATAATATCTTCGGTGTAGGGTGACCATCCACTACACAAGTCAGTGTAACTTGTGAACCAGCCTCTCCTTCCACGTTCTGAGGTTTTTGCCTGAAGATCGGTCCATCTGAAAAAAACACATGGTTAAGAAACTTGTTTTAAATTATAGGAATTTGCAAAACTCACGGAAGTTCATGGGTCAAGTGAAACTTCAATGCAAAACAAAACTGTTTGACCATTTTAAAACAGAGGCTAATAAAAATAATTATATAGGTAAGTAGGTACTTATTTTACCTTCTACTTTCTACTGAACCTTGAAAAGGTAAGAAATAAGGCGTATAAAGGACTTTTAAAGTAATTTAATTAAAGGTTTTTTTGTGTTCAACAGTACAAAAGGCAACATTATACCTAAGCCGAGAAACAAACGTAACATTCGTTTATGCGTTATTTTTACGCAGCGCTATCTCATGCGTTAGGAAAATGCGATTTTCCCTAAGTTTTCCACCATATTCTCATTATTGTAGAAACGATTTGTATGGTTTGACAGACGCATCCGCTAACGCTG